ACCCGTAAAATTATAATACAAAAAGATAAAAAAAAAACTCTAATTGGGTATTTTTAAAAGTTCTATAAACCCCAATATTTTTTCAAAAAAAAAAAGAAAACTATCTATTTTGAATAATATAATATTTCAAAACATTTGATTTATCTATAACCACAAAAAAACGGATATTTTTATTCTTCAAAATATCTAGTTCTTTTTTATTATAAACCCCAATATATTTTTTTTTTAAAAACTATCTATTTTAAATAATATTTTAAAAACATCTAATATAACCACAAAAAACGGATATTTTTATTTTTTAAAATCCACTAGTTCTTTTTTATTATTATAGAAAAAGAACTGTGTATATGAAAATATGTGTATATATATGTATGTATATGTATGTATATTTGTATGTATGTAATGTATGTGTATGAATGTATATGTATGTGAAAATGTATATATGTATGTGTATATATAGTATATAATTTTTTTATATTTTTTTTTAAATTTTTTAAAACATTTGCGACGGAATGCGACGGAAAAAAATCCGTCGCAATTTGCGACGGAATTATCCGTCACTTTCCGTCGCAAAACGCAGATTTTTTCCGTCGCATTTTTTGCGACGGATTAACGACCGTTATACGTTTGCGACAGCGCTATACCGACGGAAATAAATCCGTCGCATTCCGTCGCAAATTCTTAATTGCGACGGATTTCCTTTATATTTGCGACGGATTTTTCCGTCGGTATATAACTATTTTCTTGTAGTGATATGCCAAGCTTGAGGGGGAATATTAGAGGATACACACCTGAAGAACACCGAGATTTCCTCCCAACGGCTTCTCCAATCATGTCCGCCTCATCATCAACAGAAATCCTGGAATAATATTTGCAAATCAGCAAACTTCCTTCTTGTGACAGATTCTGATTTGCACATTTTCCTTTTGTACGTAACTTTCCTTCTTCATGTTCTCTATTTCTTCTTCTTCTATATTGTATATATATGTGTATCGTCACATACAGATGAATACAAGAAATTCTTATCAGTTTCGAATCATTATTCTCAACTCCTCCAGCCTGATTTCCCATAACTTTTGTTATACATATAGTACTTGTGACTATGTGACATTCTTGAAATCGTCGATTCTTAGATATCGGAATCTTGGTTATCTCAATGCGAACCTTCCTCACTCTTTTTGGAATCGATCATTGAGGATGATATCATAAGGGAGGCCTTCCCCATCTGTTGAAGTTGAGGGGCAGATTGAAACTTTACAGAATTTCAATGTCGTCAACCGAGGGTGCAATTGATTGTTAGAAAGTTTTGGAATGATTCGCAAATAAGAAGAAGATGGAGTACCAAAAGAGAAAAACAGAAAATAGATGTTCGGAGAAGAGGTGACGCGACATTGTCGTCGATGATCGATCTTTCTGTTCTTTTTTTTTTTTATAAAATCTTTCTATTCTTTTGAAAACCCGTAAAATTATAATACAAAAAGATAAAAAAAAAACTCTAATTGGGTATTTTTAAAAGTTCTATAAACCCCAATATTTTTTCAAAAAAAAAAAGAAAACTATCTATTTTGAATAATATAATATTTCAAAACATTTGATTTATCTATAACCACAAAAAAACGGATATTTTTATTCTTCAAAATATCTAGTTCTTTTTTATTATAAACCCCAATATATTTTTTTTTTAAAAACTATCTATTTTAAATAATATTTTAAAAACATCTAATATAACCACAAAAAACGGATATTTTTATTTTTTAAAATCCACTAGTTCTTTTTTATTATTATAGAAAAAGAACTAGATATTTTGAAAACATGGCACTTTAAAACATATAATATATGTAATTTATTTAAATCATTACTATTTATTTGTATATATATTGATCATTTACACCTGAATTATTTGTGTATCTATATTAGGAATAGACACGGGCCAGTATCCTGGGTTCTTAGGGCATCCGATCTCGGTTTCGGATCCGCTAATTCTTTGAAATGATATCTCGATCTCGATCTCGCGAAAGTCGGATATCCGTGTTTGAACTCGGATATCCGGATCCGTAAATTTTTATTATTCTAACATAAATATTAACTTTAAATACATAAAAACTCCACAAAATAACAAAATCCATACATGTAAATATATATAAAGTTGTTCAAATTATACAATACAAATAGAACTTCAATACAAACATTAAAATGCATACAAAATTGTACAAACTATATAATAAAATTAGTTAGATCTTTTATAAATACTTATAACTATAAGGGGTATTTTTGTCCTTTTCATTATATTCGGATATCCGGGGATATCCGTCTCGCTAATTTCGAAACCCGAACTCGAACCCGCGGATCAGATTTTTTGGTCTCATTTATCTCCTACTCGGCTTCGTTTATAACCGGATATCCGTGAGTCGGATATTCGCGAACCCACGAATTTCGGGTAAAAATGTCCAGCCCTAGTATATATATATATATATATATATTTATATATATATATATATATATATATAAAAGTTATAACAGTATTTACCAATATACTACACCTAAATAAGAAGAACGTCGCTTGTGAAAAAGCTCCAAACATGGAAACAAACCAGCGAAGGAATTCGACAAGGAAATACGATAAAAGAATAAAGGGGCCAATATATATATACACTTATATATTAAAGTTATTTGTAACGAAACCACTTAAAAAGGCGAATAAAATCAATAAAGGAAACATATATCTAATATAATTGATATGCTTTTGAATGGTACTCTGACATGTATATATTGCACATATCCCCCCTCTATAAATTCCTATGGATGGTTATGAATTTTCATAAATGGAGAAAATAGTCGCGAACACATAAATTTTTATTAACTTTTACGTGTCACACCCCATTTTGTAAATACATCTTTTTTTTCATTTCACAAATTTGCAAAATTTGATCGATCCGTAACAAGCCGGGTAATTTCAGAATGGTACTTGCACGGTTTAATATCCGCGGATATTATACAAAAATATATTTTATATTATTAAAAATTATAAAAATTATTCTTAATCTTTCTTAATTAGTCCTTTACATTTCTTAAAATTTATGTGCAAGTGTCCACGGATAACTGAATATATATTTTTTGAACATTGATATAATATGATATTTGAAAATTTAATAATCAAGAAATTGAATACATAAAAATTTCCTTGTCCGATCCGTGCTTAACCCTAGACAATAAACATCGTTAATTTTATTTACTAACGAATGCAATAGAATAGACTAAATTCGAGTGAGAACAAAGACTAGAAAGCCAAGTGATTTAACGTATTGGGGACATTTAATTTGCACCAAAGTCAATAATTTTATAGGACCACAGGAATTTGTTTTTATTTATTTATTTATTTATTTATGCTATTTCTCTATACGATGTCGTTTCCTTAGGCCCACAGCACAGCTAGCTAGCAATAATGTTTCTTGTCTTGTGCCCCTTTCTTTGCTGGTATTATTCTGTGGTGTCAACTTATGCTATTAGGCATATTATTTTTATGCTTATTCTGTTTGTGGTCCTTTCATATATTATAATAGGTTTGCATTATTAATCATTTTCCGATTATTTGTAATTCTTTATTTACATAAACTTATTTTTGGATAATAATAACACAAAATCTATAATTTTTATTCCAACTCTAACATCCTACACACATTGAGTATATATATATACATTATGTGAATCTCCAATATCGTTAGTAGGGCTCGTGCCAAAATTTTCACATATTTATTCTCATTCTATTTAAATTATATTGATAAATGAAAAAAAAAATCTTCACACCCATATCTTTAAAAATACGGTTTAAACCATATTAGAATACTTATGCTATATTAATTTTTTTAACCATTACTTGTTATGTAATTATATTTTCAACTTTCTTTTGCCATTGGAGTGTTAAACTCGACTCATTTTTAATTCAAGAAATATCAAATTCGTTTTCTTCGATTCGTTTGTCAATATGATTTTAAAGTCTGGTTAATTAATTAATATTGTTGCTTTCGATGTATTTTTCCAATATTGCTATCAAATTATCAATACGGCAGTAGCCGTATTAGAGTATGTATTACCATTGTTGATGTATTCTTAGATGATTTATAGTATTACAAAATTTAATTACCATAATTCTATTGTATGTATAAATATTTATTCATATATATTTAATGTGGAAATTAAAAAAAATACTCTATTCCACACCCCAGACGATGATCTACACGTAAAATCCCATAATTAAATAAATTAATATACCGATACACTTCTTCTTTTCAACCTGTAATTTAATTCTAATATAGTACTGTAATACCTATATGTATATATATTCATTGAATAATTATACTTATATATATATACTGTATGTCGTGTTTAATACGTATAAGAATCAAGACACTCAAACAAAGAAGCTCCATCACGTACATGTTTGCGTGTAATAGTTAGCTAGCTTATATAGATACGTGCGCATAGAGAGAGAGAGAGACGGATGAAGGGCAAATTAGGCAATTGTACTGTTCCCCTAAAATTAGTGCTAATCATTTAAACTAATTTGTATAAATTAACAGAAAAATTATATTCATTTCACTGTCTCGCCCTATCATTAATATTTCCGAATTTAATTTTCTCTCTCTCTAAATATACCCTTATACATACGTATTTACATAACGTCTCCAATGCTATGTTTAAAATTCAATGATTGTCATCTACAGTACAATCTGATGCTAGGAGAAGAATATATATATTCACCTTTGTAACATCCATTTTTTTAAAAAAAAAAACAGAAACATGATAATTTTAAATTTATTATTTATTTTTTTAACTAATTATTACATAATCGAAAGTAAAAAAACATTAATGATCTCGCTACTAGAGCATCAAGCTCCTCCGTTCTTCCCCCACATCAAAATTTCTCTATGATTTTCCCCCATATATTTTACTGTATATATATATATATATATATATCATATATATGCTAAGTATTTATTCCGATTTATTATAATTAATATACCTATATATATATATATATATATATATATATATGATTGTCGGAAAGTGGACACGTGGGATTAGATTGCGAGGACTCCACCGGAGAGAAATTCGCCGGCGGTGTACGGAGATATCGAAAAGTCCGATCTACATGTCTCTCTTCGTTCATCGCTCGTTATATGAATCGATCTGCACTCCGCACTACAAAATGCTTTGTCTCCTCTGTAACGTTCAGACAAAAATAAAATATATAAATAACAATCATATGATTAATAATACCTGTAAAATTTTCAACACAATAACGAGGTTTTGATAATCTTACTTGTAGATGTATATGTCTATGCCGTGAAGTTTCTTCCGGCACAACAAACATGCGTTGAGGAAATCCAAACCCTCGAACTCCGGCGAAGTTTCCGGCGAATTTTCCGGCGGGTCGTCAAAACAGTCACCAAAAACCAGAGATCTCTCGGTCTCGGGGTTCTTTCTTGCGTAGCACTCAATCCCATCTCTGTAAACCCTAGTACAAGATCCATCGGGCCCGTGATGACATGTCACGTACGTGTAGTCCTCGTCCATGAATCTCTCCTCCTCCTCATCATCGTTGTCGTCATCCACAGATCTCCGGTTGTTCATCGCGATGGGAACCGGGTTGGAACCGGACCGGTTAGGCCCCGGTTTGGGAACCGGATATTTCCCGACCCGGCAAACACTCATCCGAGCGGTCGAGTTCTCGAGCGCTGCCACGATTCCAAGGCCAACCCCGCCAATATGACTGTCATAGAATCTCTTCGCGCCGTTTCTGGGAGAAATCTGAGGGAAAATCTTGAAATCGAGCGGGCTTTTAGGGCTCGTCGTCGTCATCATCAAGGCGTCGGAAAAAGGGTTCGATCGGTTAACCGAGACGAGAAGCTCCGACAATTTTCCGATCATCGGATGGGATCTTTTGGTAAGCATCTCTCAAGAGATTCGATGATTGACAGAACAAGAAGAAGAAGAAGAAGAAGAAGGTGGCTTTGGTGGTGTTTTGTGAAACCTCCACAAGAGATGGGGGAGAGAGAGTTTATTATTTATGGTGGAGTTGGTGGGTGGGTGAGAAATTATCCCATGCTTCGGTCTTTCGTGAAACCGGTTTTAAATATTATATGTATCCTCTTTTTAATTGATTTATTCAATTTTTTCACCTCAATCATTTAGCTATTTTTATATCATAGAAATCGTTACATCATCACATTATATTATACTATTTAATCCTTTAGAAACATAAATATAAAATAATGACTTTGGAAGAACATTAATTACAATTCGAAATAGGAGAAATGTACGTATAAATATACCTTAATTTGCTTTCACTATACGTAGATAATGTATACACGGGAAATCATTTAATTTAATATGCTCTTTTTCCTGTTTCAACCTTGCGCATAAACCATTTTAATATAAGCTTATATATGAAATTTGTTACATGAGTATTCGGTTTTTTTTATAAGCCATACAAATGTATGTAATATACCAGAAAAAAGGTAAACAAAAAATAATAACGTACAAATGCAACTATTAAAATTACGAATACGATAAAAAAAAATACAGATGCTTAAAAAATGAGACGGAAAATGATGAGATGTCATCAATAGTAGAGTGGACCACGGAGAGAGAGAATTATTAAATAAATGATTAAATATTATATACAAGTCGAAATCAACGCGGGAGACATATGATGTGGACATGGGTCCCACAGGCTTTCGAGGGAGAAGATTCCCTTGAGCGCTCTCACGATACGTATGAAACGTGGCACGCTTCTACAGCTCCAAAGTACCTCCACTATTATTTTGCTGACTCGGAATTTTATGCGATATTACTCTTTTACCCTCTCTCGGTTCGGTCCCACCAAAAAAAAATAATAAAAATTCCGTGTATATTATATATATTCCGTAGAACCAAATTTAATAAATAAAAATTTCCAAAATAACTCAATCAAATAATCACACACAAATTCATACATATATAGATATCAAATGACTAAACATAGAATGTGTAATTATGTGGTTTTTCCTAATTTTTATTTTTATTTTACTTTTACGGTCATGGTGCTTTATATATATATACCATCGAGTCCGAAAATTTCTCTTCGCGTGATTTAACTGTACAATAGTTCATAGGTTCTGTCTGTGGTACCTTTTGTTTTTTTAACGTTGGAAACTGGTACGTGACATTCTTTGAAGTTTAGGGACAAACAAGATTTTCGGACTAAAATCTAATTTAAATTCATACTAACTATTTTTAAAAAGATACAAAAGAAAAACGAACATAGAATAATTTTTTTAAACGAACATATTATGAACAAAAACAAAAAGTGAAATTGAATTCGAATTAAAACCAAACCAAAACTATAATATTTCACATTTTTTGTTATATATGTATATATTAAAATCAAATTTAAACTGAAAATTGAGAAGGAAAAAAAAAGCAAACGAAATTTGAAATATCTACTGGTCGAAAATCTAAAAATTTTAAATTTTAATCTCAAGTATGCTGCAATCGTCTATAGACCCGGTCCGACCCAACCCGACCCGACCCGACCCGACCCGACCCGACCCGACCCGACACGACCCGACCCGGCCAAGAGGCACGTGATACAGACACGCTAGAGAGTTCCAGAACTCGTTCCAGCAAATGGATATAAACGGTTCTCATTTCGTTCTCACTCTCTCTCCAACTTCAAAGTGTACGATTTTTAGGGTTTATCTTTCGAGGCTTTCCCAGCCCTCTTATCTGTCCAAGTCTTAAGGTATGAAGTTCTCATCTTGGATTCGACATTCATGTTAAATTCGAAGGATTCGGTGGTGGGTTTATCCCAAGTTCGAAGTGCACGATATGAAACTTAGTAATCTCGTTTCTCCAATGGTGATTGGGTTTCAATCGCATTTGCGAAGGGTTTTGGAAGGACGAATTTGGAGATAGAGAGTCGAAGGGTATTGTTAAACTGAAATCTCGGATAAGAATTGAGAGGGCTTTTCCGTGTTTTGTTTAGGGTTGCAGAAATGGCGACGACCCAGTTAACAGCATCATCAGTGACTGTCTCCGCGAGGAGCTTGGCCTCGTTTGAAGGTCTGAGACCCTCGAGCGTACAGTTGACTTCTTTTGGACTTGTTAAACTAGGACGTCTTAGACAGAACCGGTTCCGTGGTTTGGTCGTCAAAGCTTCTGCTGTTGTTGCTCCTAAGGTAATGGCCCCTTTCGCATCTTCTCTCGTCCTAGAATCTGATATTGCTTGGTCTGAAATGGAGCTTTTGAGCAATCGTGTGGAATTCATCAGAATGTTTCGAGATGAATGCTTTCCATCACTGTTATTCGGATTTCTCCAATTTTCTAGTGGTTACATCTCACCGGCAATGTGCCCTGTTTGATCAGCAGAAACTATAACTTAGATCTTTCTAGCTGTTTATGCAAGTTGGATCTGAATATTACTGCTGGTGGCTATGTAGTAGAGGAGCGAATTCAATGTGATCGTGCCATTACATTAGTGTACACTGTCTTCTAAGTTTAATGGGTTTGTCACAGTCTCTTGCTTCGATCACTGCGAGAGATTTCTCTGGTTCATTTTTGCTTGTGTTTTTGGCATGAAACTTGCAGTTTACTTCGATTAAGCCTTTGGGGGATAGAGTGTTGGTGAAGGTCAAGGAAGCAGAAGAAAAGAGTGAAGGTGGCATCTTACTTCCGTCCACTGCTCAATCGAAACCTCAGGGAGGTGAAGTCGTTGCGGTCGGTGAGGGAAGAACGGTAGGGAAAACGAAAGTTGACATCTCTATCAAGGTACAGTCTAATTACCGATCAAATCCTCATCTTTGTATGATCATTCTGTTCAAGTGTCATAATACCGTATGCTTTTTCTGAATGTAGACTGGCGCACAAGTTGTATATTCCAAGTATGCAGGAACTGAAGTCGATTTCAACGATGCAAAGCATCTCATTGTCAAGGAGGATGACATAGTGGGCATTCTTGAAACCGATGATATCAAGGATCTCAAGCCTTTGAACGACCGAGTCTTTATTAAGGTTTTTTTGGATACCCTTGACCGAAAAATCTCTTCATCTCAATTATATTTTCATCTCGACACCGATGGAGGAAGCTGAAGCGGAAATTTTCTTATGTTTTCAGGTTGCCGAGGCAGAGGAGAAAACTGCTGGAGGATTGTTGATAGCTGCAACTACAAAAGAAAAGCCTTCCATTGGAACAGTAAGACTTAAAACAGAAACATGGTTCTTTCTTTCTCTTTGCGAAAAATGTAAAGACTCTGTGATGTATTTCAATCGGTTACAGGTGATAGCGGCAGGACCTGGACCTCTGGACGAGGAAGGTAACCGAAGGCCATTGTCGATAACCCCGGGAAGCACAGTGCTGTTCTCAAAGTATGCGGGTAACGATTTCAAAGGCAAAGATGGTTCGGACTACATTGCTCTCAGAGCTTCGGATGTGATGGCTATCCTCTCTTAGTGTAGTTATTATATGCCTTAAAGATTTGCACATGAACGAGGGGGAGCCCTTATCTAATACAGAAACCGAGTTTGGAAAATGTTCCTTTTTGTGATTGCCTCTTTCTTTGATCATTGTCCTGCGTTCTTGAGAATGTCACTTGGGGTTTTTTTTTTTTTTTTTTAATTTTTGCAACATTTCACAAAATCTTAGGATCGGTTTGGTATAAACGTTGACCGGTTCTTGTCTCCGGTTTGACATGAGAAACACAGTGAAACCGGCATGCTTTTGGCCATTTGGGAATATCCAGTGTCGCGCAATGACATTCGTTAACAAGTTCCTTCTGTACAGATTTCACTAACGGGAGATTTTGATGTCTGATGTTCGACGGATCACTGCTTAGTGCCGGTATCAGCGGACGAAAGAATCTTTTACGAAGGGAATCCGAGTTTAGAGAATGCAAAGTCTCTGCCATCTGGGTGTAGTGTAGTACGATGTTGTCGGAAAGGAGAAAAACAGCAAGATCGAAGCTACGGAGTGGCGGGAAAGTCAGGACCCAAGAAGGATCGAGAGAGAGTGCCGATTTTTTTGTTTTAATTTTCAGATGATTTCGATTATTTTCGGAAATTTTTGTATTTGAAAAAATTATAATGTTTCGTATTAGAGAATACTGATATGATTTTGTTCGATGGTCCCTCGCCTGCTCCTATTTTTGGATCCGGATTTGATTATGGTTTAATTGAATTGGATCTTCTGTTTCAATTTTTCATTTGCCTATTTAGTGTGTGGGCCGACTCTTTTAGGCCCATAAATATCTCGTCGGTTCATATATATATATAATTTAGAATTCAGCAAGTCCATCTGTACGTAACTTAGAAGATACAATTCAATGCAAACGAAGAGCATATAACCAACATTTATACAATAAATTAATAAATGGGATTGTGGTGGCTTGACGACACAAGTCACGTTTTTGGGGGGAAAAAAAACAGAAATCCAGAATCTATATGAAAAAACACAAGCAGCTTCTTTATACTATATATATATATATATATATATATATATATTATAAATTGAATATTATACATTTCACGTGCACCGTCATGAGGCATTCATATCTTTTTTTCCCGTCAAATAAATATAGATATACGAAAGCAAGATAAATACACCAAAGAAAACGAATAACCAAAACTAACACACAATCACGACCGTACATTACAAACCGAACAGTAAGATCAAGGATCGACGGTGTGAGGCTTGCCACGTGTATCGTCAAGGCGGTTGATCATGTAAAGCGCGTTGCTCGTAACCCTAGCCACCTTGGTGATCTTCTTCTTCACCTCCGTCTTGATCTCGCCGTCGATCCCTTCGAAGCCATCGAGACACGTGTCCTCGTTCGTCAACGCCGCGCTCACCCACGTCTCCGCATTGCTCAACTCCCACCGGAACTCCGCCGCAGCTCCTCCGCCGGAGCTCTGCCGAAGGCGCTTCAGCGCACTGAGCGTGCGGCTCAGCTCCTCTACCGAGTCTCCGATCTGCTCCACGCAGTCCACCAGCGCCGCCCTCTCCCGCCGCCTCGCACCCG